TGTTTCTCAGACACTTGCCTTCGGGAAAAGTGAAGGAAATGCTCTTAGTAATGGAAATAACGTTTGAAAAATTCAAGGTAGTCTTCTGGTTAGATGGAATTAGTGATGAGTCGGTCAGAAAGGAATTTTGCATAGTATGTACAATAATAGGCACAGCACGGCAATGCTGATTAAAGTTGTTATGCATACGGGAATGAAAACACCATGCACGTTTTGATGATATTCTTTACCAGGTATTGAGGAATAGAACACTACTTAAAGATTATCTGACAGGGTTTGCGAGGTTTTGAAAGATATGGAACAAACAGAAACATGTTTATGATAGATACGTTGAAGAATATTTTCATTCATTTATTCACCATTCTCTGTGAAGTTGAGACTGAAAAAGAACAAAAGCGATCAATCAATGAATAAGCGTTGCGAAAGGTCAGTAGTACAGTATATCTGGCAGTATTTTATACAGTATCGGCTAACCGATGCCTCTATCTTACGTTTAATACAAGTCTAATGTAAACTCAGGGGATTGATTATGTTAGTCATGACGTTGATATATTCTACTGCTTTATACTTCTCATAATGACGCTACTTAATGCGGTTTTGTCGATCCATCATTTGTGTTTTTTCAGAACTGTCTTGTCTATTTACTTTATCTATCTTCTATATTCAGTGTTTTTGTCGAATACAGCAGGACACTCGATACGTCGGTTTAACCATCAGCTGTGTTTTATCTTCAAGAACAAGAAGTTAAGCGTAAATAATGGAAGAGGCCTTCTATCAGGGTGCTTCATGATAGTGAACTACCACAGAGTTATGCAAATGGCTCTCGATCTCTATGAGCGAAAACGTTCCAACAAATAGAAGAAACAATTTAAAATTGCATGCTGTGATATCAGATCCTTTATATGGTGTACAAAGATATGGAATTGTAATTATCTTTTACTTATGTGAATAAATTAAAAAATTCTTTTACATAGGAACTCCATTCATACTGGTCGTTGCACTCTCGAATTCATCACTGCCTAATCATTATCTAACGGTTTATTCCTGCAAGCACTGTCTCTGTCACTTAACGTTATATTCGAGCGCCATAACATTCTGAAAGCAGAACTTTGACCTTGTCAGCTAGCTGAAGAATACTACTTTTAAAAACATTACCTCAAGAGGTGCTGAACCGAAGGTGTTGGAAGTAAAATGTTGATCCTAAGGAAAGCAGTGAAAGGAAACCCATGTTACTAAAGACTTTAAGTAAGAAAATCAAACTAGGTACAAGGCGCATAGTATATGTAGTTTCCTATAATTGGTTAAAAGAATCCTATATGAAACCATACCGTACTAAAAAAAATGCTAAAATTCTGTTGACTGAATAACAAACGATTTGCAAATGCGTAAATAGCTACAATGGCGAGAGTGAAAAAAGATAAACAAAAGAGTGCGCAATAATCCTCCCGGGTTGTAATAACGGAGGTTATATCTGTTGCATCTTCTTCATCTTCCATCGCCGCTTCTCCTTTCGGGTCGCGGAGGCAGACGCGTCAGACAGTGCTTCC